CTACTTGAAACGTGCCGGCATGCACGTCCTGTGGCCGCTGAGGGTAAGAGCTGGTGGTGTAGTGAGTGAGGTTATGGAAACAGTACGTTTCCTCGCTAGCTGTCTGCAGTGATGAGCACGCAGCCGCTCTGTTTTTGTAGCCAACTCCATTTACAATAGCTGAGTGCTTAGCAAGCCTACAGGAAAAGAGAACATTACCAGACCACATCAGCGAAGTCCCCCTTCCCTGCAGGTCAGCTCTAGCTCTGATCTGGGTGCCGCTTCCCAGTTTGCTCTGCTGGTGGAGCAACCCTTAGGTGTTCCAGGAGGGCTGCTATGCTACTCGGCACAAAACTTCCCACCCACAGAGTCCTCTGTCCGCCTTCATGGGCTGCTCAACACAGACAGAAACCCTTTTTCTTTAAAGACCTTCCTGGGCATTTCACATCATCGCCCCTAGATGCTGCAACAATTTGGGTATCGTGTTTCCTGCAGGCACTTACTTAGAAAGGGGTGTAAAAACCCACCTTGTCTGGTGGCCGGGGTAACCATGGAGGCTTTCAGAAGGCCTTTTGGGAGAAACATATCTGCCGAACTGGTGAGAAGGCGAGTTAAAACCATCCACAGGGTGTTAATGTCACCCACCACCCCTGGTGACTGCATCTCTTTTATGCCCAGAAGTGCCTCTGGGCGCCTGGGGTTGGCAGATGTTCAGAGAAGGAAGCTGGACGCCACCCAGCGCTTCTCCGTCAGACCTGAGCCCGCTGTGCTGCTGGCAGCCTTCAGCGGTGCCCATGGAGCTCACTCTCAAATCGTGGCATGTGATGCTTGTGTTTAAAGAGCAGGTTAATCCACCCTCTAAAGCACAATGGATAGTTTACCGTCTGGCCCAAATGGTAACGCTAAGCCTGTGGTTACACTGCGCGTTGTATTTGGCGCATCTACAGGGTATAGAGTGGTAAGGCTGACTTGGACAGTAGACACTCAAGTACTTGTGTATTCCAATGAGTGCCGCCCTCCACTGAGAACACTTCCGGAATTCTTCACTCATGCATACTTTACAGGCTTCGCTTTTTTATTTTAAATTTTACTCTATATTCCTAAACTGACCTGGTCCTGAACACCTGTTTAAAAACCAAATCTACTGGCAAATTTATAATTACTGAAGGTAAAATAAAGTGTCACAGGCACCGCCAAGACCCCAGAAAGCACAGTTTCCGATGTTTCCAGTGGCTGCAATTAGAGCAGCGACCTCTCTGAAGGTCTCGTCCTCGGCAGGGTGACGGGTGAACACAACAGGCCAGGTCCCTGCTCTCCTGAGCGGCGCAGGTTTCAGTTAAAGACTAAGTAGTGATTGTCAAGAAGAGAACGGCAGACATCGGGGGCAGGTGGGGACAATTCCATGATGTGCCAGTGGCTGGGCTCCAGAGAGGGGATTAGGTCAGGCCCTTCTCATGTTGCATTTCCACCAAAAACTCAGAGACGAGGTCTGTGTGGAACTCTGGAGGGAGAGTCTCCAGGTAGAAGGAAGGACAAGGGCAAAGGCTCTTGAGGCAGGAAGCATAAAGGAAGCGATGGTACCTACCGCTTGGAGGAGTTTGTGCAAATGTTCTAAAACCTTCATTTAAAAACCAAACAAGCCTTACATACGTGTGTGCTACTGGCTTCATATCTAGTAGCAGGCAGAGTTCAGAGACAAGGGATTTAGACAGGACTCCAGACTCCAGCAAATTGGAATCGTCAGGCCTGGGTCAGGTACATCTTCATCTTAAGGGTTTTCCTGCTCCATTTGGGAAGTTAAAAAGAAAACCACCACCTGTTTTCCTAATTAGCTGGACATACATGACTGCCCAGCACTGTGGCTGTTCTGTAACGTGTTTAAGTGACGTGTCTAACGTGCCATTTCAGCTCTGTGCACTGTCCGCTGGTGGAGAGTCTGACCTTGAAGACGTAGCCCTGGCTCCTCTGAGGGACACGGAGAGGTTTGGGATTGTGCGGCGCCTGCTGGCCACGGCCGACATCGACCTGGAACGGCGACAGGCGGCCGTCAGGGCTGTCACCTGCAAAGTCCCCAACCTTTCCCCACTCGTTCTGTATGTGAGCCTGAACGGACTCCGCGCTTTAGGCCCAGCGCATCAGTAATGGCACAGGTGAGTCCCAAGCTCCCGTCATCAGCCAGGGCTGGGCACTTCCCACACCGTTCAGATACCACTTTGGGGCTTAGTTCAGAGCCAAGTTAAAAGGTGATCAAGGAGATGAATTCACAAGAGAATGTAAGAAGTGAGTTTCTGCGCTAGCAGTCACCTTGAGGTTAGCCGCCAGGTAGTCTGTAAGCAGTTTCCTTTCGGAACAGGCCCTCCTGCGCTGGTGACCCAGAGAGCAAGTGCAAACTCACGCCTGAGGAGCCGGACGAGGGCTGCGAATCCTAAGCCAGCAAACAGACCTTTATTCTACAGAAAAACGGGTCCATCTCTCCCTTTCTTCCTGTTATACAAAAACAGATGGGGCTGACACTTTGTCCCAAAATTCATTTTAAGTTGTGAATGCTGGGGAAGCAATTTCTCTCCATTGAAGGCTATGTTTTGGATGTTCTGTATGCAGAGCAATTTTGTATGTATTAGCCGCTAGATCAGTGGTTCTCAACCTGTGGGTCGCGACCCCTTTGGGGGTCAAACGACCCTTTCACAGGGGTCGCCTAAGACCATTGGAAAACACATATATAATTACACATTGTTTTTGTGATTGATTAATCAGTGCTTTAATTATGTTCAATTTGTAACAATGAAATTGGGGGTCACCACAACATGAGGAACTGTATTAAAGGGTCACGGCATTAGGAAGGTTGAGAACCACTGGTCTAGATGATAATAAAAAGCCTAAACCAAAGCACACCCACACAAAGAGACTGACATCAGACAGACAGAAAAGGAGCCATCCCAGCCAGTGTAAAAGCTCGGGTTACATCCAACAGGCGACGGAGGCGTTTTATTTCTTAGCTGTTCCACAGCTGCCCTGACACTGGTCAGTTACCCTGCTGGACGGTGTCTTAAAACTCAGCTACTGGGAAGGATGTATGCTCTGCAGTGACTAAAAAATGAAGTGCGAACGCCACTGGAGTACACATATTCTGCTAAATAAAATTATACTGAAAAAGTCTAATAGCAGGCCGCCTTCCCGTAGGGGTCTAGAAATACGTGGTTTATCTGACTTTGCCATGCTTCAATGAACATACGAATTCTATGTCAAGAACAATGTGCTGAGTTCCCATGCGTGATGGGTGTTTAATTTATGAAATATCTGTCAAAGGAAGCTCTGAACGTGTGGATTTTGCCTTTTCTTGTTTCCACAGCCTTCTGTAAATAGCCTGGGCTGTCTCCTGGTCCCGTTGCTAAGGTCCCCTGGGACCTGCAGCCACTTGCTCTCCCTCAGCACCACCGGGTGCGCCCGCTGGGAGGCCTGTCCAGCGTGGGAGCAGCAGTGGTTAGAGAGACACGTGCTACGCGGCACAGGTGCTTCACCTCACCTTCCTCTACTGCTTCCAGCTCTGAAGATGTTAATGATGCTAATGAAGCAAGTAACCCTTTCATCACCTCTGGAAAATGAGAATAATCCATGTTCAAGTACTTGCATAAGTAAACCTATGATCCATGAGAAGAAAAGGACACAGCAGTGTACACTGTGGTGGCAACAACATGAAAAACCAGCACCGCATGCACAAACTGGAAAGGAACATGCCAACGTGAAAATGGTGCTAAAATGGTGGCACCGTCCATGTCTTTTGTCTGGTTTTCTGAAATAAAATAAATATACAGAACGAACTGTAAACGGCAGGTGTAATGGGAGTCTGCTTGTGTGAAAAATGGAGACATGTATCGCCATGCGTGGGACAGAAGCCTCACTGACCAGTTCACTAGAAACCCCATGGGCTCCTCTGGGGAGGGAGGGGGAGGTTGGGCAAAAGGTGGGGAAGGGGTGGTTCACCCTTCCATTCCTGTTAGAATTTCGTATGGATTATCCTCTCTAGATGATAATAAAAAAGCCTAAACCAAAGTGCACACACACAAAAAGAGAGACATCAGACAGACAGAAAAGGAGCCATCCCAGCCAGTGTACAAGCTCGGGTTACATCCAACAGGCGACGGAGGCGTTTTATTTCTTAGCTGTTCCACAGCTGCCCTGACACTGGTCAGTTACCCTGCTGGACGGTGTCTTAAAACTCAGCTACTGGGAAGGATGTAGCCTGAGGCTGCACTAGGTGATCCTGGCCCCCCCAGAAGTGAGAGAAGTCTGTGTTTTAAGCTTCTAATTTGTGGTAATTTCTTACTGTGCTGATAGAAAACTGACAGGTAGTAAAAGACGGAAGTCCATAGGTTCTTGGAAACTGGGACTTTAAGCAAAACAACATGTAATGAAACCAGTTTTAACCATAAGCTAACTGATACAAACACAAGTCAAGTTCCTATGGCCTATTCCTGGTCACAAAAGCATCACCACACTTCTAAGTAAAGATCTCAAACACTTCAAATATTAAACAATGAAACAGATGTGAGCTGTACAAACATTTAAGAAAGATGAATAAAAACAAGAATGATTTTCCAAACTGACGATGTCAGCTCCTGGTCCCTGGTGGCTGAAGCCTTTCCAGCAGCTCAGGGCGCAAGGCGGGAACCCACCGGGACAGGACGCCCTTCCATCACAGGGCCACTCACACCCACACAGACGGGGGCAGTGTGGACACACCAATTGATCCAACATGCCCACCTTTGGGATGTGGAAGGAAACCGAATGCCCAGAGAAAACCCACGTGCAAACTCCAGACAGTGGCTCTGGCCCGTAACTGATTCCCCCGCATCAACGTTAGAATGAAACGACAATGAACGAAACCACGTTTATCCAGGAACTGCTGTAGGTCACACCGATTCTTTGGGAGACATCAGAAATACACCGAACTAGCAATTTCTCAACCATGAGGTATAGGATCCCAGAAACCAGCTGGGGAAAGAGAAGCAAAGTACCTTTTCTGGACACAGGCTTCCTGCACGCACCACGGTCACGCCTCCATCGCTTGGCCAGCCGGGTGGGTCTGCTGTTTCGCGGCAGGGCTGGGGCTGAGCTGCCTGCCACCGTACACCTGTCTCCCACCAGGTTGCTCTGGCAATGGTCCTAGGAGCACCCCATGCCCTCTGAGCACAGAGGCCTTTTCTCGATCCTGTATTTCAGTCTTCTCTGTCTTGGAACTTCTTTCCTTGCGTATGTTGTGTTTGAAACTTGGGCTGGCATAGAAGAAACAATAGTTAGGGTTTCCTTGTTCAAGAGGAGAGGCAGGTGAAAGTTTATAAAACTAAATTACATTAGAGGCTTCTTATAAAAATTATTAGCATTTAAAAGAAGTTTCCAAAGCTAACCTCATAGTCTCTGTATTTTTACTATCTGTAAGCCTCAGTTCTACTTATAAATGAAACACTACATTTTTCCAATATTAAATATTTATTTTTTACATACAAAAATATTTTACCAGGCATATAGAATTTCACAGATTGAACATTTCAATAATTTTTGTTTGGGGCAGTATCTGGAAATACGTGAAAAGAAAAATTTTATAGGGACAGCTTCTGAAAAATCAGTAACTGTATTACAGAAAAATTTTATTTATACAAGGACAGTAATATTTCTTTCACACACGACTTAGCAATACAATTACTGGGAAAGCAGTAGCAATTAGTTTTTAGTTTTGAACTTTTTCATCAGAAACTTTAGCAGCTTTGAGTTTTTAGGTTGCCAACAAGATTTTGTCCAACGTTAAAAAAAAAAAAAGTCCTACAATCACTTCACAGACTAGAGGTTAAAGAGAGCATGCATCTGTGTTCAAAATAAAGGTGAAACAAAATGAAATGGGCAACTCCCCACAGCAGGGTTTTCACAACAAACACTCATCATGGGCCCTGACGGACAAATAGGAAACGACGCTGGTGCCAACCCCTCGTGCTCACTGGTCTACACAAAACCCGAGGCACCACTTCCTTAACAACCAGTGTTACCGAACAGGCAGGAGCCAGTTCTTCTTTAAAGGCAGCACACAGCCAAGAGCACCATCCATCTTGCATTTCACGGGCAGACAGAGACGAGCTCTTCCTTGAGTCTGGATCTGTCTGGACGCTCAAAGGCCATCTCTCATTTGGACCATGTTTCCAGAACAAGCTCTGTGCGCTCCAGGCAACGTGACCAATACCCCTGCCCATCTCTCCTATTTAAGGATGAGAGGAAAACCACATCCTCACGGCCGAGAGGTTTTTCATGCTATGCACTTCCCCTCCCTCCACGCTCCCAGGCCACCTTGACTGATGTGAGGAAAAGCAAATTTCAGGCATGGCCTGTCAGATTTATGTCTCTCCCCTGGCTTGCTATTTCTGAAGTACAATACGGACCTCAATTTCCGACTTTTAAAAGCAGACCTGTGGGCTTCTGCTCTGTGGTAGCCTGTGCAGTGGGACCCAACACAGGCTTACAAGCATCGAGTCTTGCTTCTCCCAAGTTTTAAGCACCATGTACGTTCACACTGTAGATGTGTTCACTTAGTTTGTGCTGAAGATTAGAAAATAGTAAAAGCTAGTAGTAAAAAAAAAAGAGAGAATCTTCGCTTCTGACGGACGGACTTTGGTGAGTGGAGGTCAGTTACCATTATAACGCTGCACCGCCAGCCAGCCAATGGCTGCGAGGCATCAGAGAGGGTCACTGAAATGCATTCGGTCAGGCTAGAGGTCCACCAATGACCTGAGAAACAGACCCCCTTTAGACTTAATACCACCAGTTAAACAACATGGGCTTCGGCGACAAGTTTTAGGCGTAAGAACAGGGTAGAGCAGTTTTAAGGGGCAAAGATCAGCGTGCCTTGTGATGTAGGAGAGCACTGGACTGCTTACTTAATTGATTTGTGAGTGGTCTGGTGGCAGCAAGGACTTGCTAAGCGTTTTAACTTGAAAAGGGATTCTAAACTAACATGGACCTCCTGCCCTGGGCCACTGAGAGCGGGACAGACCCTCTTCCGGCTCAGAGCTGTTCTAAAGCTGGAGACGAGATTCCAGGATGGCGTGCACCAGGTTCTGTTAGCTCCGGAAGAGGGGCACTTTAACAGAATGAAGAGGTAAGGAACCTCAATGCAAGCGCACACATATAACAGACAGACAAAGTAGACTTCCTAGTCTAGCATTTACCGTATCAGAACTACAGATTATGTTTTGTAATCTAAGCTGAAGACAAACATTAAGTTAGCCTTATTTAACAAATGGAATATTAAAAGTAAAGGAACATAAAAATTTTGCTAAAGGTCAGGAGTCAGAATTAGGATCTCGGTCATTTTTATCAAAAGAGCAACTTTTAAAGAAGGTAGTGCAGTCTACTGCAGAAGTGAAAACCATGCTTTTAAATTCTTACCTTGGACATTTGATATCATCATTTCCTTCACTTTTTGGCAATTAAAGACTCATTTTTTATTCTGTGCACTAAATCATTCCAGGAACACAGAAAGTAACATGACAGATTATGGGAAATATTTTTAAAATGAAAAAAAAATGAGTAAAACTTGAAGCTAACAAAAAATTATTTAAAAAATCTTACCTTAAAAAATTACATAACTGTTATCTTCCTCAGCTATATAATGTCTATCTACATAAAAACGGATATGATGCTGAATTATTAGTCAATGGAATTCATTCTTAAGTTTGTGAATAATTTTCACTTGTACTATATACAATAATCTTATCATTAAAATAGTGAATCTGTCCTAAGAACTCAAAATACATTATAAATGTTATTACATGAATGCTCTCAGCACATCCTTTGGAACAAGAGGAGGGCAGGTACCATAATCTCTAAGCCTGAACCATATAAAAAATTCATTAGAAGGTTCAAATAAGAATTTTCCAAGAGGTTTCTGTCTAGCACTTTCTTTTTTCCTTAAGGAAATTAAGTTATGATGTTAACTTCATGGGCTTAATACTTCATTTATTTTTCAAAAAGGTGATTAGTACCTGACTCAAGGTAAGCCCTTTCAAACAAAGTGAAAGAAGTTTCTGAATGCTTAAGAATTTGGAAGTAATAAAAAATTTAAGAATATTAGTTATAATTACATGGGTGAAATATATTTAGTTTTATTATTCATGTATTTTGGGAGAATTTTACATATTCTATACATAGCTCTGTGTGTGTGTGTGTGTGTGTGTGTGTATGTATATATATGTGTGTGTGTGTGTGTGTGTATATATATATATATATATATATATATATGGTGACTTAAACATTTAAAAAATGACCTGCTATCTATATACACAAAATTTCAGGATTGCCTTTTTCATATTTAGTATAAAGGTTCATTATTAAAAAATTATTGGCTCTCTAGTCTGTGATTTCTGGAAAAATTGAGTATTTTTTCAGAAGTTGTAAAGGCGCAATGTTAAGCAGGTCATTATTTTGATCAATTTTCAAACTTTTATGCTCAGTGTTTACCAATTCAAAATAACTGTACCTAATTCCATGGCTATCCATCTTGAAAATCAACTCCAATCATGATCATGACACTTGTTATACATGAAACTAAGTACCAATTTAATAAAACTTTAAAGATCATTGTTTATTGTTATTAGGATATTATGGTCAAAACAACTAGTATCTGGCCATAATCTATAATGCCACATTATATTTTACTGCTAGTTTGTATTTTCTAAACTTGTATTAATTACCAATTTGCTCTTTTAAGGAAAATGTGTCGTCAGCAATTATAAGTAGATTTTGCTAAATTATAGAATTTAGGTTCAAGCTACTTTTGCAGTAGTCATATTGGGTTTATAACGACTTTTAGTAAGCTATGCTCAGCAATTGTACAGTGAGAGTTGGCAAGAGTAAATCAAGCCCTGATGTACTGGATGTTTGATATTCCCGAAGCATCAAATAGAAATTGATCAAGGCATGGCTGTAATAAAGGTGAAACTCCACTTATAGCACATCACATATATTTCAGTAATTAGGGTTAAATTTTACTTAACCAGAGACATCATCTCTGGGTATTTTTACATTTGAAAGTGAAAAATGTATGTGTATCTACTTGTATATAAACAGTCATGCCCTGAATGCGGATACTCACCTGCCCACAAGGAATCCTCCGGTCATTAATGTCCAAACAGGAACATCATCTTTCCCAAAAGCATAAACACGTGTGTGCGTGCACTGTGACCACTAGCAATCGTTCAACATCACTTTAAACCACTTTCTCTTCAGCAAAGCTAACCATCTTAGCCGTACTCACGGCTGCGGGAGAATCCTGGGCTGCGGGGCCTGCCTGCCCCGAGATCTCTGTGGCTCCTGTGGACTCAGATGGCACTCGAGTTCCAAGTTCAGTGGCTTTATTGAGATACAATGAACTTTTCTAAATGTATTCTCTTCAACTCTGGCTTCTTGGCTGAAATGAACTAAACTGCATCGCTTATTTCATATTAGTAGGGAACTAGTGTGTATTTAATAGTTTCTGATGAGTACCATTCATAATAGAAACAACTCCTTTACATAGAGACTATTTTCTAAATAATATGCACTTTATCCCATATGATAGAGCTAAAAATACATACGATGTAAAAATCATCTCTATTTTGCCAAGATGGTTGAAATAATTTGTGGAGAAGCTGATTGTGCTGCTACCAGGATCCCAAAGCTGTGCACAGACGAAGGCACACCGAGAATGTGGAAATGAAACTCCTCTTAAAACTTACAATGTGTGGGAACACTAAGTCACAGGACCTCACCTCAACACTGTGCTTGGATCCATGTTGCTCGGAGAAGCCAATAATGTGACGTAGATATAGGCGGTTTAAAAGTTACCGAAGATATTAAATGAATGTGATACATTTTGCCACCAATTTCCTATCCTATGGACAAAGAACATGAATTTGTGTTCTGGATATGAAATCCTGGAATTTAAAAGTATCTATGGATTTCCACTCTTAAAATACAGCAACTTGAGAGTTTTGTTTATTGTGAAAAGATTTACAACAGTGTGTGCATACCACTCACCACCTGCATTTCCCCCTCCACCAGCCCTCCCGCGGGCATTCCATGTGACAGCCCTGGTGACGGAGAACAGTCAGCAGCCAGGTGCCTGGTGCCTGCCACCGGACAAAGACAACCACCCCCTGGTAAGGACCGAATCCTTCAAGTGTGAGGACTTCTATGTGAAAAGCAAGCAGCAATATAAAATATGGATGACTTAGTTCGACGATGAGCTGCATCTCTGAATACTTTTCAGGAAGAAAGTATACCACCCAAGAATCCTAAAGGAATGTATTAACTGAGGTTGATTTGGAAATTTGTATATATTAATGCATTTAGAGGAGAACTGTTTTTTCCCCCTCATCATTAAACAAAAGTACATTTCCTTACAGAAATGTGAAAGAATTTAATACATATTATATAATATATACAATGTATATATTATATAATCCATTATATAATATATACACACAATGTATATATTATATAATGTATATGTTATATATAGGTAAAATAGCTGACCATTATTTCCAAATTTTAAAAATAATTCAGTGGTCTGGGTTTTCTACACAACACATCGAACAGATAGCCTTAACGATCACATCATACTTCAAAAAGCACACTGGTTGTTCACAGCCCCGAACTTCAAACTCAGAGGCATCTTTACGCATCACAGAAAAATGCAGAGGCATGATACAGTTGCTGACCATAGCCTAATAAAAACCTGTATAAGAAGTTCGTTTTTGTCCATTAAATTTTTACCTGTGAAAAAAAATAAACGGCAAGTGTCATTTTGCTGTTTTACAGGACGCACTCTCTGAGCCCACCCAGCTTGCTTGCTGTGTACATGGTAACTTCACATCAGCCCGTCTTTGCGACAAATGAGAGTGCAAGGTATTGCTCTTGATTTTTTCACTAAAGACAGAAATGAAGGGGGAAAAAACCCAATACATCCGTATAAGTCAGAATGGGCAGCCATAGATCTCTGAAATAACGAAGCTAATTAGCATTGAGCAGACTTCTGATGTCAGATTTGGATGGTGGTAGACTTGCTGTAGCACTGACATTCAGGTTCTGCTCCTTTAAGAAATTATATGAGGAAAGAAGGCCAATAACGGCTATATATCCTAGAGTAACTTCCCCTTCACTTGTTAAATACTGAGCTAAATGGCAACTTTACAAAACTATTTCAAGTATTCATTATCACAGTGAAAATGTGAGACCAAGGTTCGAATGAATGAGTTGGAAATTCTTGTGATGAAAAAGGCAAGGGCACTAAATCAAAACATATACAAAATGCTTCAACGCATTTCTTTTATGTGATATGAATAGATTGTCCATAAAAAGTTAGAAAAATTAAGATAAATTATATATTAGTACCCCTTCCCAGCCACACTGTCTATAAAAATTCGGAAGAGTGTACTGGCGTTTCAATCTACGGTAAAAAGGCCTGGCCTTGCAGACACCTTCTCCGTGCACGCGTTTTCCCAGGAGTAAGTTTATTTGCTGTCGTCACTTTCTAAAAGCTGCGTTTTAATTGTGAACCTTACTGACTCATCAGTACACCCAGCTGATGGGGACCCACTGTGGCTCCATCCTCAGGTGCTCTATGGCAGTTTGTAGTTTCTCAAAGGCTTTGTCTAGATTGTCGTTTACGATGATCAAATCAAAATAGTGGTTGTATGCTCTCTGAATTCGTGCACTTTCATCCACTGTTTTCTTCAAGTCAGAGTCCTGTCAAAGAGTTTTAAAAGGAAATGTTTTTATTGTAATGTATATTTACTTGCTCAAATAGCAACTCAGAGTGAACATAAGAAATTAGTAGCTTGGATAATTTTTTATTGTGATTCTGATATTCATTCTCAAAATCTAATCCATAGAGTGTTAAAAAGACATTACCACCTGTTCCTGTACCCATCTTCCCAGCCGCGTTCATGTGTGTGCTTATGAGTACCCTGTATCTTCTGTTTCATTGACATTTAGGATAAGATTCCTAATTTAAAAGACTGCTGACAATAATTTTAGGATGAAATCTAATGGACTCTAGATTATGGAACCCAATTTCTAGTGACTGTTAAGCTCAAAGCTAAATTTGCTGCCTATTTCCAGGAAAGAAAATCTTACAAATGTATTTTCGAAGACTAACTTCACATTATTATCATTTTTTTGCTAGCATTATTTATATATTATAGAATATTTCTAGTCATTTTAGAATGATGTAGGGGAATACATAATGGGTTCTGCATGAATAAGAAAAGCTTTTACAAGTGTTTTGAAATTTCACAATTCTACATGTTCTTCAAATATTGAGTTTCTATTAAAGTGTCTACTGTGTTTCATTATTTATGGATATAACGATGAATAAGACAGAGGGGGTTCCTACCCTATAGTGAAGGAGACAGATAAAGGGCAAATAAACACAAGAACTTGTGGAGTTGTAGTAAGTTCTATAAAATAAAAAAATCAGGAACAACGCATTTTAAGAGATCTACTTACAAAGACACTGAATACATTACTTTTAAACTGAGAACCAAGTGGGAGAAAGAGCATTCTGGGCAGTGAAAACAGCAATGCCAAATCCAAGCGGGAAATGCCTGGACACACGTGTGAAGACATCAAAAGACCAGGAGGCACAGACAGTTATGGGGCGAGGGGAGTAGTAAGTTGAGATGAACACGGAAGAGGTCATGAAGGACCCAGATGCAATGGAGACATTCCTGGATTATGATGGTGGCAAAAGGTATGGAAATGACCCAGACTATTTACCTATGTTGGTGATAAAACCATTAGGATTAGCTGATGGGCTGGATGTGCAAAGTGAGGAAAATGACTGAATGCAGATGCTCTTGGGCTTCTAGCATGAGTTAAGCGGGTGGGTTTAGAAGATGCAGAGTAGGGATGGAGAGAACATGATTTTTTGGGGGGGTGGGGGTGGGGGAGGGAAAGCAAATGTTCTACTTTGTACACGTTAAGTTTAAGATGCCTGTGAGGCATCCAAGTAGGTGACTGGTTACGCAGGCCAGAGCTCTGAGGCCCGAGTTATCTATATATAAATTAGGAACCACCAGCATAACAATAGGAAAAGGACAAATTGTAGGAGGAAGTAATATTGTTAACCTAAAAAGAAGTGCTCACCGTCAAAAGCTTGGTAGCAATGCCAGCGTCCACCACAGCTTTGTGCATGGCGCGCAACGTCTCCAGCTCCGGAGCAGCGATGAAGACAACGTAGGGCATGAACTCCGATGTCCTCAACACCTTCAGGGCCTGTGCAGGAGAACCACCGCACACCGGCTTACACAGGATTAGAATTTGTACTGTTTCCCTTTACTTTTCACTAAATAACCAAAGTCTATCTGCCTCTTCCTAAGGATTAAGAATATAATTGAACACTTGCCCCACTTCTATCCTTTGATTACATACAGTACTTTCCTAAAACAGTGACCCATTGTGTTCTGACCTCTCTACTCTTTGAGCTTCCTGAACAAAAAAAAAGCATTACATTAATGAAGGACCCAAAAGTCAGCAAGAACACTGTAAATGTTTTTTTTATGTTAATTATAGAATTCTGCTAATACTGAAAAAACTAGAAATAATTTCATTGTCTACTAGCTGGAGAGTGGTTACATAAGTTAATATATGTCTATATTATGAAATATTATGCAGCAATTACAAAGAATAAAAAAAGCTCTACAGCAATCAACATGAAAAGGTCTGCAAGAAACATCCTATTCCCATATAATAAAAGGGTAATATTGACCCTAACAGCAGAATGACCGGTCACTATGACACAACACTGACCACCAGGGGGCAGATGCTCAATGCAGGAGCTGCCCCCTGGTGGTCAGTGCACTCCCACAGGGGGAGCTCTGCTTAGCTACAAGACAGGCTAGTGGCTGCCAGCACAGCGGTGGTGGCGGGAGCCTCTCTTGCCTCCTCAGCAGCACTAAGGATGTCCGACTGCAGCTTAGGCCTGCTCCCCGCTGGCAAGTGGACATCCCCCGAGGGCTCCTGGGCTGCCAGAGGGATGTCTGACTGCCAGCTTAGGCCCGATCCCCCCCGGGGAGTGGGCCTAAGCCAGCAGGTGGCCATCCCCCAAGGGGTCCCAGACTGCAAGAGGGCACAGGCCGGGCTGAGGGACCTCCCTGAGTGCACAAATTTTTGTGCACCGGGCCTCTAGTTATTTAATAAAAAGAACTAAAGGTTTTGTATAGAATTTTTCATTTATGTAAAAGAATCAATAAAAAGAGAAAACTATATATATGTATATGTGTACACATATTATAGGGTGTCCCAAAAAATGTATACACACACTTTAACAGCTGATAGCTATTAAAATGAAATATATTTTAATAAACACTGCTTTTATAATTATTCAGTGTGTGTATACATTTTTTGGGTCACCCAGTATATACTAATATGTGTGTGTGTACGTACACACACACACACACACACAAATATATAATTTTTTACTTAAGGCATACTAAAAAGATAGAAAGATACACACCAAACTCAATAATATTTACCTCTGAGTAGGGAAGCAGAAGGGTGGGAAGGGTCAGTGAGAGAGACACAGAAGGGAATGGGAATGAAATGAGTATTTGTGTGTGTTTGTGTGTTTGGTGGGAAGGGGCGTGACTGCAAATTTTTTCTTTTTAATTATCTTTAATTAAAAAAATTCTTTCAACTACAGTTTAAGTTCAGTATTATTTTACATTAGTTTCAAGTGTACAGCACAGTGGTTAGACAATCATATACTCTATAAAGTGCTCCCCCTGATATTTCCAGTACCAACTGGCACTATAATAGTTATTGCAGTATTACTATATTTCTGAGGCTGTACTCTACATCCCCGTGACTATTTTGCAGCCTGGTTTAAATTTTTAATTTCACATTTTCTAACGTATGCATTTATGTATTACTTGAACAAGTAAACAAATACTAAACTTCTGTCATGCTTCTAGTGCTTGGCTAATCGATCAGAGATTTATTTAACTAGTGGATGCATAACAAGGTTCTCCATCAGGTAATGGAGGGAAAGGGCTACCATCACAATCTCCAATCAAAACAAAATAAAACTTAAAATCAGCTTTGGAATCCACGCAGCTTACTTGTGGGTTGACATCCAAAATGCAAGTTCGGCCAGTTTGGACAACTTCAAGGATAGAGTTAATCTTGGTTCCATAGAGATTTCCTTCATATTCCCCATGTTCCAAGTACTTTCCAGCTTTAATATCTGCTTCCATCTCAGACCGCGACACGAACTTGTATGCCTGGCCATCTTTTTCATCTTCCCGTGGTTTCCTTGAGGTAACTAAATAAAATAATGTTGAGAATTTACACAAAGAGAATGCAGGGTTTTAGAAAACAGACTAAAATGAACAGGGTAGCTTAGATGCTTCTGTTTAGTGCCTGCGGCCAAATCTGCCTGCGGCTCATTTTTGCAGATAAAGTTTTACTGGACCACAGCTACACTCCTTCTTCCTACCCATGCTTCACTTGTTTTATACTGGTGGAGTAGTTGCGGGAGAGACTAGATGACCTACAAAACCTAAAATATTTACCACGTGGCCCTTGAGAAAATAGTTTGCTGATCCCTCATTTATAGGAACGCTTTAAAAGGTAGTCCCCGATATATAATTTGTATCCAAAAAATGTGCTAGATAAGGTCAGTCAGTTTGAAACTCAAAATATGGTTACCGGGAAGCAGAGTCCTGCATCTAAATTCTTAACTGTGGTGAATCCTAGGAAGTGTGAGGTAGGTTGCAAGTGAGTGTATTTTCCAGCTGACCCGCACTTACTCCCCCTTCCTAAGGCACATCAATTATGTCCTCTCTTTTCACGTTAACATTTCCTAATTGAGTGCCAAGCAACTGAGCAAAGTTCTCCTACTCTTAGTTGGTATTATCAATTTTCTGAAGTGTACTTTACCCACAAATTATCCTTTATTTTGTCTCAATGCCTTTCTTTCAGCTTCCTGCTTATTTATACTCCTAATTATTATATTTTGTGCTTTAGTGGTGGAACTAGCCACCTCAAAGTTATAAAGGTCTATTAACTTTCTCTCTTCTGATCTGATCTGTGTATTCTTGTTCAGAGAATGAGAACAAAGGCACCAAGTGGAAAGTTAGAGGAGCCTTTTGTCTGACATTGTAGAGCTCTACTAGTAAATGCTTTCAGAGACATACCACGCCCCTGCAACTTGGGCCATCCTAGGAACAGACTATTATCACCTTTCAAACTGTTGCAAAGATGCAGAGATAGGTACTCTCTGCCAACCTGTTAATACTAGCTTGGAGGGAGGGAAGGAGGGGAGGAGAGGGAGAGGGGGCACCAGAGAGCTACTTTCAAATTTAGCCTTAATCTGAGCTTGGCTGGATCAGATATAAAAAAGTTTTCAACTTCTAATCAAATACTTATGCATGCAGAATATCTGAAGAAACCATTAAACACATACACTTAAAATTAGAAAGTAATCCAGATCAAAAGGTGATGGTATTCAGACTCTCTATAACAGTGGTTTTCAACCTTGGCTGCACAAAACTTTTATAAGAACAAAATGAACTTCAAACTCAATAAATCAAACAAGCGTTGCCGAGGATGTGAAGAAAAGAACAAACCCCTGTGCGTGGTTGTGGGAACGTACATTGGTGCAGCCAATGGGTATTTTTCCATTGATTTTTTTTTTTTTTTAGGGAGAGTAGAAGAGAGAGGAAAAGGCAGAGAGAAACATTGATGTGAGAGAAACACATCAACTGGTTGCCTCCTGCACGTGCCCCGACCAGGACTTGGGCCAGGGAGAAGCCTGCAACCAAGGTACATGCCCTTGACTGGAATAGAACCCGGGACCTTTTGGTCTGCAGGCCGATGCTCTATCCACTGAGCAACCCGGCTAGGTCTGACAGTGAATTTCTTAACAGAACTGGATTCAAGAGCTACATCTTTTGAGTTTTACAATCTAGAATTTCTACTCTCTGCTCAATAATCCATCAGATATAGGGCAGAAAATATACATCTTCAAATACAAAGATGCACAAATGACATCCCATACACCATTTCTTGTGAAGTTACAAGAGGATGTGCCCAGCAAAACAAGGTCATAAACCAAGAAAGGAGAATGGGGCCCAGGAACAACAGTTTCGAGCCAGGGCAGCAGCAAAACGAGAGACATCACTGTGGCCACAATGGGGCAGTCGAGGCACAGCCCATGGTGCTCACTAGTAAAAGGACTGAGGTCTGAGTCAGAGGTCTCCAAGCAGAAGTTATGGCTTCATAGATAAGTGAGTCTTTGGCTTAAAACAAAACTATACACATAAAACCAAGGTAAAGAGAAGAAAACAGGACGTCTAGTGATGGCTGGGCGGGGGAAGAGGGGAGGCTGTGCAAGAAAATAAGACGGGTTAACTGAAACCAGAGTGACCGCTACACTGGAGGACAGTCAGAAATAGCAGAATGAAGACAATTAAGAAATCGGGAAGGCTATCAGAAGAAATAGCAAAAAGAAAGAGAAGCAACTGATTCTAGTAAGTAGGCCCAAGGCGGGGGTAGAGGAAAATAGGGGGCTATTTTTTCCATTATTTAAGTACTACTTGATTAAAATAGTGTACATGTATTAACTTGCTGAAAAGAAAATACTTTACAGCTCTTTGACCACAGTGAGGCTTTAATAACTACTGAACTAGGATTTGTCTGAGTTTTGTGATTCATGTGCTTACAATGGAAAGTCTTCCTCTGAAGGGATTACAAACAGCACATGAGGGCAACAATAAGGTTACTCCTCCAACCAAGCCCTAAGAACTTCAGCAATGAGATCACTCACCGAGAATTAAACCTCAAAACAAGCTGGATAACAGAGAAACTCTAAAACTCATTGAAAAGAGACGGAGTGACATTAGGCTATGATCTGACTCAGGACAGCTTAAGCGCCCTAATATATGTTAAGAAATACTGGGTTAGTCACGAAGGGGGCAGCAATAGCGGCACAGAAAGGGGAGGCAACACTGGCTCGTCTCCTGCCTTGTTCAGGGACAGAACATGTAAGTTCCGAGAAGGGAAGGCTAGTGCATCTTCGAAATAAAGCAAATGTGTATTAGTCCTTATAATAAGCCAGTGATATCATCTCACTCCTTGATGTAATCCCACTCTCATCAAGCATACTTCTGACAATACTACTGAACTTTACATGTAGATATGCAAATAAGGAAAGAATGCAAAAATCATAAAATGACTGTTTGGTTCAAGTAATGGTTATACTTCCCATCAGCATCGTTTTCTTTTCTCTATCAATCTCTGTGCCCTTAATTAACGCCACCTGCCCTGGAAGATGAGTCCCTCCTGCTGTGCTACCCAAAACCAGGACCATGACCTTGCAGGCTCACACAAGTTAACAAAGGGATGGCCACACTGAGAGGTGACTGAGGACCCAGCAGGCTTCTCCCTTTACTTTACACCAAAATGGGTGAAAAATACAACTTTTCCCATAGACATTGGAAGTAAAAGAAACTACAGAGTTAATGCTGCGTATGCCACAACTCTTACTACTTGTGCTTAGCATTTCTGAACAACAGTTTGGAGGAGCGACTGCCACCAGGCGGCAGGCTGACGGGAATAGTGCTACCTCCAGACGGCGGTAGAGTAGCTGCCAATATCTTCTATTTGCTTGTTTTCATTGACATAATAAAAAACTATTTGGGACTAAAGATCACAATTATCTGCCCCCCCTACGTTTTCTTGCCAATTAAACACAGAAGAAAACACACAACTTACATGGCACCGTGGTTCCAAATCTAGTGGGATTCAATACTATGAACCTGTTTTTCAAGCTTCTTCGTCCCACACCTTGAGCTCCTATTAATACTAATGTCCTTCTCTGGAAGGGAGGCATTCTGGCTACCTCCTCGTAGATCTGGATTTCATGACGGTCAAATTCTGCAGGTAAAGGAAATGGGAAACACCACATTCAATTGTCTTTCATGTGGATGAGAAACTTCTGCTATGCTGTTCAGTAATGATGTAATAAGCATGCTAGTGAAATATCACTTGAATTGTACTCAGCACAGATTTGTTTTTATTAATTTGATAAAGTACAAGAAGTTATTTTATATTTTGATTTAAACATCTGCTGCCATCCATTTGTTTCTTAAAAATTTGTCCAGCCAAGCTAGAAAAATGCCCATGCTTTATCCTTATCAAATATTCTATCGATGAAACCTTCTTATGAATTCTTGAGTAGAAATAATTCCTTTAATATAAATAATCTGGTGACAACTTGCTTATATAGTTTATTTGGCTAAAAAGTGTGTATCAACTATGGAGGACAGCAGTATACCTAGCGAGGCTGCTTCAATAAGTCCTTATAGAATGAGTGTGCCCTCCCAGTGACATCAATGAGTAAGTCCTTATAGAATGAGTGTGCCCTTCCAGTGTCATAAATGAACAAGTACTATCTTGGTGACTCTGCAAATAAGTTGGATTAATAAATGCATATAGACAACATACTGACATTTAAATATTAAGATTCTGAAAATATGTATAAAATAAAATATAGGATCCAAATTATTTTCACTGGAAATACATTGCAAAATTATATTCATAGTCAATGGTGAAATTACAAATTTTCTATTTTATAAGAAAGACTAAAGAACACATATTTCATGAATAATAAGGCTAAACTGAGTTTGAAATATTCTATTCCCATCATTATAGCTATCACTCTCAATCTATAGTAAGAATACTCCTTAGGTTATTTTAACAGCAACTCTTTGCAGTTTCCCCACAGTAGCTTAACCAATGTTGAGGAAGAGCCTATTATCTCCTTATTTATTATATTATAATTTATTGTTATATTTCCCTTAGAGTAGTGGTCGGCAAACTGCAGCTCGCGAGCCACATGCGGCTCTTTGGCCCCTTGAGTGTAGCTCTTCCACGAAATACCACGTGCGGGCGTGCACGGACAGTGCGATTGAAACTTCGTGGCCCATGCTCAGAAGTCGGTATTTTGTGGAAGAGCCACACTCAAGGGGCCAAAGAGCCGCATGTGGCTTGCGAGCCGCAGTTTGCTGACCACTGCCTTAGAGTATGCAATTTAGTTTATTACCAGTGGAGAGGCAGCTCTGAAGTCAAGAAATTGCTTTAAAATTGACAATCCTTCGACTAAGCCTCCAGAGCTGCACGGCACTCCTATCAGCCTCTAAACCAGCGGTTCTCAACCTGTGGGTCGCGACCCCTTTGGCGGCCAAACGACCCTTTCACAGGGGTCGCCTAAGACCATCCTGCATATCAGATATTTGCTTTACGATTCGTAACAGTGGCAACATTACAGTTATGAAGTAGCAACGAAAATAATTTTGTGGTTGGGTCACAACATGAGGAACTGTATTTAAAGGGCCAGCAGGTTGAGAACGACTGCACTGAAAGGAGAAACAAAGGCAGTTGTCCTATTTATCTTTCCTTAAGTCTAAAAGACTTAAGAAAGAGTCCTCCTGGATCAAACCAAGATTCACTGGTCAGTACTATTTTCCCAAAAGAGCCATGGACAATGTTATTCCTGAATATAGTTGCCTTTAATCATAACTCTTTCAGACCTATATAAAGGCATTTTGCTCTTTAGAAATGACACATAAATTATCAAAATTCTCTGAACAAATAGCTTCAATTATAACATTGCTCCTTTATTAATATAAGCATCCTAAGCAATTCACTGTGCTGCAAATTATACTCATAAAACAAGCACACTGGTCATCGTATAAGCATATATAACATCAGAATTTAAATGTCCTCATATTAAATTATACCACGTGTTCACATGCCAACCCCTTGAACTGGGTACTAATCTGAATTATATTCACTGAAAATTATATACGTAGACTCTATGCCACACCAATTAACATTATAAAGCTATTCCACTTGGACTTCTCAAAAAGTACTGCAAACACACCTGCATTTCTGGTGGTGAGATACATCATCTTTTTCTTTTTTTTGCTACTTAGGGTTCCACAAAAAGGCCCTAAAGGATGAAAAGACAAATAAAACTTGAATGTCAAAATATGATACAATTGCCCTGTGGATTCGACAGGGGTGGGAGCATGATCTTCCCAGTGTTGCATCCTACAAAGCAGAAGGGGGCAGGTGAGCCACACTGAATTCTGGTACCATACCAGCAGGTGGCAGAACGGGATCGAAACGTTTACTTTTGAGAGACACAATAAACAGATAGATGGGAGGGATTAACTCTAGACACACAGGAAATAAATTCACTTGCTAATTCAGATGAAAGAGGCAAAGAAAGGTGCCCACAAAGGACAGCTTGTTACTTATGATGTGGAGCGCATCACCTGAATTGTCCCAGTCTCTTCTAACAAATGCCTTTCTCTTCTCTTCCAGGAACTGGCTTGGAATGAGACCAGCGCTTCCTCCCTCTTTTACATGGCTAGCCTAGAATCAAATTAACGAATTGCATATCTCAGTGACCAAAACTTGAGACGATATTCTAAAAAGTAGAACAAGCAGTAGTCAGTAAAAAAATACCACATTTGCTCTTAAAACTGACCTTGAGATTTAAATCCACGGCATTGTCAAGTCATTTAAACACTTTAGCACTGAGGAGTCAAGTGGCACCTAGTCAACCCACCCACCATCTGTAAGAAAATTTTGGGGCCAAAATAAAAAAGTACACAGGCACTTTAAATGACTAAAACTTTTTATTTTTAACACCAAGTTAGTCAAAGAACGGAAAGAAAGGAATGCTAGTGTATACGTATTTACAGGAAATTTTATCTAGCATCCTTTAGTAGGATATTACAATCGGCTTTAATCCTACCATGCTGGTATTTCCTGACGCCAAATCAAAGAGAAAGACAGCATTTAATTCACGCTATCAGCAATCTGAGTATCCTGAGAAAGGGTAAGTCTAAAAGAGTAAAACTTCACCTACTGTCAAGAACTAACTTTCAAAGTAAAATCCAAAGAAGTGCCAGTTTAATATAGTGGCTGGAGAACTGGCTACTAGTGGCTTCTCCCACAAAGTTAGTGACTTTATTATAACAAACTTGCATTAAAAAAATCTGGTACATTTTTAGCAATTAAAATCCTGAGGAAGAAAAAAAAAGATTAAAACGAATAGACCACAAAATGCAGGAAGAAACTGAGACAATGGTGAAAAGGATTAGATGACAGATGGCATTCAAAAAGTGGGGGGAAAAGACAATATTGGAAAAGTTCAATAAAAGAAACAGCCACAGAAGGCAGATTTTTCAGGTGAGCAGTCTAGGAAATTCAGTAGAAACTTCTTGAAATCATGAATCCTATTTAATTTACTCGTTTCTTAGTCTTCTAACCTGTTGCACAGTGCACTTGTACATATTGATGTCTTAATTCACTGTAACTATAAGAACACACTAGTGAGATTGTTCTCATTCTTGTAACTCATTCCCCTTAGAAGCCACTATAACTTATTAGGGCTAATGTGAGTTTCTGATATCTCAGTCTGATTTAGAGTTCGGTGCTAGGTCCTGGTCCTTCCTCTCACAGCTTGTTCTTCAATGAGACTCTGACAGTTTAAGGGAGTTTAGACTTTCTGATTTCTTAGTTTCTCCAGTTCTGAACACTGTGGCTGTTGGCCAATGTAAACAATAACAAAAACAGACTTATGGCTGCTAGAGATTTCTGAAAGCTGTATTAAGGGAAGGAGGAAGAACATCATCATCACACAGCTTTGGAAAACGGAAGGGGCAAAATACAGTGCTAACACACATCCTTTCCATACGCACAGAAGTCAATCCACGATCAAAAACAACACTGACAATAAAGCATAACTTCATTTCTCGGGAAATGAAAGAGGTGGGCAAATAGCTTTAAGAGCTTAAAAAATTATGCTTTATTTGCCATGAAAGTATTCAGAGGGAAGGGAGACAAGAGAACGATTACTACAACCACAATAAAAGACTCCTTAGTTAAAACTAACAAAAACACTGAAAAGGGAGGACCCCAAATGAGTTGTTCCTGCCTAATTCTGTATCTTACTGCAGTCACCCATGGGGAAGCACCAACAGGTCTAATCCCTAAACCAGTAGTGGCACCACAAGCTAGTTAATTCTGCATTTATTAACGGCCATTCACAAATTCCCTCTCACTTTGGTCCCCTGTCCACAAAATCAGCAGCCCTGCAGCCGGAGTTGTTCATGCAGGTAAAACCATTGAAAGGAATGCTTATACCTTCTTCCTGAATATGCAGATACTGGCCACATTAAGGTTGAAATTAAAAAAAAAGCAGGTGAGGAAATTCTGAGCAGCACACTCACCTGCCACCAATTTGGATCTTCTCTGTTTACAATCTGAAGAATTTCTCCTTTTGAAAACTTCAATCCTGCTTCTTTGCAGGGAATCAGGTTATCGTTGTATGGATTATAATCAAAATGACATTTCACAAATACCTAAAACACACAATTAAAAGTATTATTAAAACAATGAAATGAAGTGAAAACAATTAAAAGTACCATAGATGTATTATTTATAACGCGATTTTTGAAACCTTTTTCAAACCACATTGATTTTATTGTAATTGACAATGTATTTAATACTTCAATTATGGAACTTGTCTCTCTCAAATAAAAATTAAATTATTAGAACATTAATAATTTGGTATCAGAAAAGAAAATATGAAATAAACATTACACCACATTAACATCCTAAACAATATATGCAGTTGATTTAAGGCATATATTTCAGATATATTAGGACTGACTTTTTGAAAGGGCTCTGAAACCAAAATTAAATAATGAAAGTTCATGTGGAAGTCAGACCCGAAATATATTTAGTAACCTTAAAAGGTAACTACATAGACTTACACTGGCCAAAACTAGTGTGGAAAATACTTTTCTGGAATCATCTTGCTCTGATTTAAATCAGTATTAAATAAGATAAATACTGAAAAGGCCTGGAAACTATTTTAAATTTATTTAATTATACAAATTTCTTTTAAATCTGTTTTATCAATATAAATATGTCAGTTACCAATTAGTTATGATCTCCAGTACCTACAGTATTTTGCTTAGTCACTTTAATTTGAATTCTAATTAAGCTAAGCATTTTCAGTATTTGATGGCAAGTTCGGACAGATTACTTTCTTAAAACAATTTTATTCATGCATATTTATAGAAATTCAAATTTTATCTTCTAAAGAACTTACTTAGCATTAATCAGCAAGTAAACTTTAACAAGCAGGAAAACACATAATTAGTGAAAATAATGTTATTTTTCTACTTATCATACTTCTATAAATATAACCACACAAGATATTCAAATAACACAAGCAGATATTATTAGTGTAGTAAAATGCAATATTGTGGATGCATATTAAATAATTTAAAAATAACTAAATTTGGAAAATTTGATAAAATTTTAGTTATTTACAATTAGATGATTTTCAAAGAAAGCATTCTGAACATTTTCAATAACTTTGGAAAGGCTAAATATTAATGCCTAAAAAATCAGTAAGCCAATAATTTTTTATGATCTGCAATTTTAGAAATATCTAAATGCAAGCATACAAGTAATATTACGCTTGCCTAAAATGTGACAACTGACTAACTTGACAATAGCATGCAGCTCAATGATTTGGCAATGGAGAAAATCCAAAATGATTAAGTTTAATCAAGGTAGATTTAGTTGTCTGATAGGACAGAAAAACCGAGCAGCAGAGAATGCCCTGGAATAACAGCATACCTGACGGACGTGGGCTGGATGCCTCTCCATACTGATGCCACTCTAAAAATACATTTTTCATCGCATAAATAAAGCCAGGCTTTAAAGGGATAATGAATCAACAAAATATAAACCAACACTGACCCATCTTATTACTTCACTCATTTAGTCAAGCAACTACTTCCTGAAAGAATTGTCCATATCTGAATATTATAAATCAAAGCAGCAAAACTATAGAGGGGTTTGAATGAGGCAGATGAGTATGCAAAGTTGTAAAACTACTGGGCTATGCCTTACTTCTCAAGAAAGCTGCACTGAATGAATAATAAGGGCACCCTGTCTAAACATGTCTATATTTATTATTCTTATCTGTGGCAGAATATGTTTGTTACCATAAAGCTTTCTGAGGAAGTCCAAATTTCAAACATTCATTCCTCTACTCCCATAAAATTGTTCTGAAAATGTCATTATTTGTGGAACAAAAATTATACCGTTCAAATGTAAAGAATTTCTAGAAGAAATAATTTTTATTAATTTATCAAATTAATTTTGGAACATAGTAAATTGGTTTTACTTTGAAAATTTGTCTGAAAAAAAAATTAATGAACCCAATCTTTGATCTAAACATTTGTAATGAGCTTAAAGTCATTAGATATTTGTCAGGTATAATTACATTTTATTAAGTGCATTTTAAAGTGTTTCACTAACAGGCTATGGATGTTAACTATTCACTTGTTATTATAAAGTTGCTAAACACAACCTAAAGTATTTCAATCCCATATTCTGAATGACTAACAATCTAAAGAAGATGCAAGAAAGAAAAGGAAGTACAAACGGCTTTTAAACATAGGAGGAGATATTCAACCTCACTCAGAATAGAAAAATAAAATTATAACGTTTCTTCCCGTCAGATTAGCAGAATTCCAAATACGTGAATATACCATGGCTAGGTCTATGGCCAATAGCCATTTTTCTAACAGATTGTGAAAAAACTGGTTCAATCCCTTGGGAGGACAATTTGGCAGTAACTATCAAAATCACAAATGCAAAATCTCTCCACCATAGCATCCCACCTACGGGAATGTATTCAATAGCAATGCTATGCAGACCTATATAAAGTGACTTATGTAGAGGACTATTAGCAACTGATTGAAAAAGATCAGACACAACTTAATTACTTAACAATAGGGACTGATGAAACAAATGATGGCAAACTTACATAATATAACACTGCAGATATTAAATAAAAAAGGGGGGATATATTTCAACAAGCAGACTATGTACCAAAAAGGAAACAAGACAACATAGTTAATTGAAAAACAAACAAACAAACAAAAAAACAAGGTTTAGAGTGTGCATACTATGTTATGTAACCTTTTCATTAAAAAGGAGGTGGAAGGGGAAAAAGAATATATAATTCTTACTTACTTGCATATGAATAAAGAAACCCTGGAGAGATACTAATAGCATGGTATCTTATGGAGGGAGTGAGGGTTAAGTTGGTAGAGAATTAGGGGGGAGGTTTTAACTGACTACGAATTTATATTGCTTGAATTTTGAACTGTGGGAATGATTCGTTTATTCAAAAATTAAATTTTTATGGTAATAAAAGATAAAAATTACTCCTGCTTCTAAGATGAAATAACAAGGATCCTCCAATCTGAAACAACTAAAAAACTGGACAAAATATATGAAACATTTGTCAAGGTACTGGACAACGAAGACAGTGATTCCTAAAAAGTGGAAACTAGGGGAGCTATACCCTGGATCCAGCTAACTGCACAGAAAGGTTTCCACTTTGCAACTCGGGAAAAGGAAAGTGGTGGAGCCGGGCGGCCACCACGCTGAGGAGACGAGCAGGAAGACCAAGATGGCCTCACACGGGGCTAAAAGGCCTCGCATTTTCCATCGTTCAGATCCGTTCACCAACTGTAGAATTTACAGCGGAATTTGGGCCAAAGTCCTAGCTATTAATATTATAAAAATTTATTTTTCCCGCAAAAGTCCATTATGGTCATTGTGAGCTTGTAAGAATTCTGGAGTTTGGACCACAGGGGGCTGGAATCTTTCTAAGTATCCAAACTAATAGGTAATTTTAAAAAGTAAATCTTTGGCTCTACTTTTCCAAATGCAAGTGTGCCGATTCATGATTCTTTTGAAGACAAGGTCTCACTCTAGCCTTCATTTCACCAAAGTTCATTATAAGCCTATATACTCCGAAGTCCAATTTACATACTAAAATCATGACTAAATATTGTACCCTACCCTCTGAATAACAATATAAAACCGGTATTCAACATGTTATTTCAAAGAATTGCACAGAAATACAAAAACTAGCCTTTTACACTAGTAGCATCTTAAAGAAACACAATTTCACTCACACATGTAACAATAAATTTCTGGAATAAAGTGAACAATTAAAGATATCTAAAACACTGGTAGATATTTCCTATTTCTATATTATCTAGGGTTGAAAACCCTCTCCTCAGTTCCAACATTCTCACCATAATCGTCAACTGCTTCTTTGTAATGAATAATTACTTCATTATTTTTTTCTTCCTTTACAATTCTATTACACCAGCAATTTTCAACCTTTTTCATGTCATGGTACACATAAACTAATTACTAAAATTCTGCGGCACACCAAAAAATATATTTTTGCTGATCAAAAAAAAAAAAGGTATAATTTTGATTCATTCACCCCAGACTGGTAATTGTGTTGTCTGTTGTCATTTTTTATTGGACAATCTAAAGGAAAAGAGGTCAGCGCCCCTAAGTAAATACTCAGGTATTGAATAGTTTTTTGTTTGTATGTTTTTAAATAAAATTGTTTTTTTAAATTGATTTCAGAGAGGAAAGGAGAGGGAGAGAGAGAGAGAGAAACATCAATGATAAAAGGGAATTGATCAGCTGCCTCCTGCATACCTCACACAGGGGATCGAGCCCGCAACCTGGGCATATGCCCTGACCGGGAATCAAATCGTAAACTCCTGGTTCATAGGTCGACACTCAACCACTGAGCTATGCTGGCTGGGCCAGGTATTGCATGTTTTAAAAATTCTTGCAGCACAGGGGTTGAAAATTGCTCTTCTAGCCCATCCCATGTACACTGAGCTACAGGCGGTTGGGACTACATTATTCTCTCACAGGGGCTGGAACATAACAAGTATCAAAAAATATTTGCTAGATTAATGACTAAAAGGCTTTATGTTTTTTTTTTAACCTAGCTGTATGTTACTGAAATGGCAGTTTGTGGTGTTCACAAAAAGATTTCTTCACTAATTCCTTTATAGTGGTAAGATGAGGTTGTTTAAAAATTCAAAAATTCACCCGTGACAAAATAAGGCATATCAGAACAATTAAATCAGACAGTTTTGCCCCCTCTTTTCTTTAGCAAAAGTGTAGCAACTGGTGGCTAGTTATATCCAACGGTGTGATAAAAGTAACCTAAAGATTACCAAGAATCTTATTACTAACCTGTTGAGGAATAATGGAATCTCTATAGCTTGGTAAGATTTTTAGGGTGACACTTCCACTAATATTTTTCAGTAACTCTTGTAATTCCTTTGGATTGTTTCCAACCTCGTGGCCATTGACTTCTTTAATGATATCTCCCACGTGGAGCAGACCTTGTCGATCTATCATGCCTCCATGAAGGATTCGGGCGATTACCAGGTCATTGTTTTCAACCCTGAAGGTTACACCCTAAAGGAAATAAGGAATGAAATGGTCATTGATTTTAGACTTAAAAATAAGTCTTAAAAACTCATGAATATATATATATGAAAATAGTTCTAAAAGTAGGCGAGTGGATCATTCCTGTTTTTCCCATGTTCTCTCCTGTGTCAAGAGTCAAATCGCCTTAAACCATGTGCAATTGTGACAACATATACCACCCTTATAAAAGGACTTCCATGGTAAGTCCTCTTAACCTGAGAAAGTGAAAAATATATTAGGCTGCACTCCACAGGATAAAAGTTACCTCAAAGGAACAAGAAAAGACAGATATGCCTTGTTCCTGGCTTTTCTTTTTCACCATTTCACTGTTTTTATAGTCAGGATCCAAAAATAATAATTTTAAGTAGGAAATTATAAACTTCACTACTTATAGACCCCTCCCTACCATTTCTTCACTTTTTAGTAACAACTTTTTTCTGTGTTTTGCTACTTCATTAGCAAGCAATCTGAGCTAATTTCTTCTAAGGGCATAGGAAAAAAATAAAGTACTTATTCTGGCCTCTAATTCAATTTAACTTTTATCTTGGTTTAATTTTGTATGCTAAATCATGTTGAAACAGCATCAGGAGTATATTTTATACAGAGGCCAAAAACCACATAAAACAAAAACAAATGAAGTTTTCATGATGATACGAGTTATGAAAGAGAAGAAAATGAGAGCAGGGCTGAGCAACAGTGTGGCAGCTTCAGTTTGAAGAAGGCACCAATTTATCTACTCACCAATGGCTCCCCCGCTCTTTTGTGAATACCAAGAATACGGATGGCATCGACTGGTAATAACTGATTGTTAACAGAATTATTCATTTCCGGGCTTGATGGAGGTGAGTCATAACACTTTGATGCCACAATATCATGGGCTTCCAAGAGTGACTGTAAGGATTCAAAACATAAAGCTAGGTTAAAAAAAATTTTTGAGATGTTAAAATGCAAGTTCAAAAACCATAAATCAAAATGCAAAGAAGAGCCCGGCTGGCATGCCTCGGTGTTTTGAGCATAGACCCATGAACCAGAGGATCACTGTTCAGCGCCCCATCAGAGCACATGCCCAGTAGGGGGCGCGTAGGAGGCAGCTGATCAATGATTCATCATTGATGTTTCTAACTCCCCTTCTCTCTCTGAAATCAATAAAAACATATATTTTTTTTAAATATGAAGGGAGCAAATGTCAACTGGTTCAAAATATAAATAACATACAGGTTTCATGGATAATTTCTGACTATTTCATAAAAATATGTGTAAGAGACTAAAGAAAAATTTCAAAAAGGGAAAGGGAACAAATCCGTGTAAGAGGATTATTCCGATAAAGGCTGAAGTCGCTCAAATCTCTAACCTGGTCTTTGTTTTCACTCTGTTCTCTCCTCTTAGGAAATATTCGCTCCTGTGACTTGAACCACTATTTATATATTATTAATTCCCAATTTTATACCTTTGATCCAGATCTTTCATTATGTCAGATTAATAGACTAAAAATCTGCCTACAACATAACACAATTATGATAATTTGAAAATCAAAGAGTTAAGCATTGTAGAGGCCTGAAACATATTGAATTAATGAAAAATCCATAACTCCACAGTGCTATTTAAAAAACAAAAGACTGAAAACACTCTTCATTAATATAGACCAATGCTATTTTAAGTAATTCTTTACTTTGAAAATTGGTAAAGGGAAGGATCAAGCATTTCACTGATGTTTCAGTGGGAAATGCATTACAGAGTAGCTCAATAGCCCACTTGATGAGGAAAAACCCTTTTTATATAAGAACACTGGCTAATAAATGCAGAGTGAGAGAATCTGAAAAATGTCATGTACAACCGCTAATGAAAATATTGATTCAGGCAAGGATTATTAATGTAGGTAAATGGTTGAAAGGAAACAGAATGTGTATAATGCTAGAATAATAATATACTAGATTACTTCTAGTGGAAAAGCTTTCAAAGGAAGGGTTGGACTGCCATTGCCCTTAATCAGGGACCAATCTCAGCGTCAATAGTGGTGGGCCAACCAGGCACTACACATTTCTGATACAATTTAATTCATTTTGCATCACATCATTTAAAATGAATTCGAGTTCCAAATAATTAACCTGAATACCGACCTTTTAGATAGAACTTATGTTTACAGGAACTAGAAAGGATAGATAATAACACAGTAGGGAAGCAACCAGATACATCCAGAAAGTGGGACATGCCACAGGATAATATCCTGACCTCTTCAAAAGGTCAACATCATAACCAAGGGAGAGAGAGATGGTCCAACCAGGTGCTGCACATGGACCGAGGTTGGAAGCCTGTATGTACAAAACAGCTGTAAAGAATATTTTGGCGTCAAATAAAGACATTTGAATATAGTATGTGCACCTGAGACGGAGGTCCACTTAAATGGAAAAGTGGCAATCAATGATTGAAAAAAAGGGTGAATTACAAAATGCCTTGTGAAAAATGATCTCAATTAGTAAAGAAAAGAAAGTACATTTATGCACAGAAAAAAATGGAGGAATATGCACTAAGATAGTATAGTAATTTGGGTCATAAGAATACAATGTCTTAATTTTTGTATTTTTGCTTGCTATTTTCTAGTTTAATGTATTTATTAAACTACATAAATGTATACCTATTAAGTTTTATGTATTTACTTAAAAAAGATAGCTTGTCTAAGAGCACTACCCACATGCTTCTGAGGTATCATAGACCTAATATGACCAGTCACCTCAACATTCACATGTTCAGATTCTGCTAGAGCAGCAGTTCTCAACCTGTGGGTCGCCACCCCTTTGACGGTCGAATCACCCTTCACAGGGGTCGCCTGAGACCATCCTGCATATCAGATATTTACATTGCGATTCATAAAAGTAGCAACATTACAGTTATGAAGTAGCAACGAAAATATTTTTATGGTTGGGTCACAACATGAGGAACTGTATTTAAAGGGCCAGAAGGTTGAGAATCACTGTGCTAGAGTGTTCCTAACCTCAGTGATGCCAATAGTCAGAAATCCTACCCTTAATCAACTTCCCACATCTCTCTTCTGCAACTGTCACATGTAACCAGTCACCACGTCCTGTTGATTTTATGGCTTAAGACTGGAAAATCCTCATTTTATAATGCCATCACAATTTCTTGCCTCAGTACTTAACAATCTAGATCCATAATCCGGCCTCTCCCAGTTAAATGCCTCCTCTCATCCCCACCCATGGTTTCCCATTGTCCTAAGTATAAAGTCCCAATACCTTAGTATGTTTTATAAGGCGTCAATCAACTGGCCCCTCCATAAAGAGTGTCTATGTTTTTGTACCTAAGATACTCATTTCTGTAGGAACCATCTCACTCTACATCTTCATATTTTACATTAACATTGTTGGAGTCAGAGAAAGTCTTTGAGGAAAAAGCAAGGGGTGCTGCCCCCGCCCCCCCCCCAAGATCTTCAGTGGAAAGCAAGTGACACTTTATTTCTCCACCCCACAACCATTTATTACACAGTCCATTCTTTCCCCACTAAAATGTACTATCTCCATCATAAGACAGGTAGCCATATGCGTGTGGATATATTTCTGGGGTTGCTATTCTTATCGATTAATCTATTTTCCTAATGCTGATCCAATACCACACTGCCTTCAATACAGATTTATAAGAAATCTTTTCCACTCCCTTTCTCTCCTGAAACTGGTTTTTCTTTGTTAAAATGATGAACTCTTTATTGATATAGACCAATGCTTAAATTGCACTTATTTTTTGTATCTATGAAAAGTATGTTATGTTCTACTTCCTATCCTTACACTGCTCTCTGATGTCCTAAGGTTATCAACTATACCCCAATCCCAGAAGCAACACTGAAGACATGTATGACTGGTCACAAGGAGGTCTGGGAAACAGTGGTAGTGAGGAAGAAAAAGCCACTATCACGGAGAAAGACGTTTCTAGCATATGGTCTGATGATGAATCAGATTTGGCTTTTTTTTTTTTTTAATTACACAAAGAATAATCCTTTCTGATGTATTTTTGCAACAGACTTCATACATTGATGTAATGTGCTTTAGTTACACGTGTGTTTTTGTATCCTCAGAATATCAGAATATTAAAACATCTATGTTGGAATTTACATTCTGCAAAATATGGACCTAAATAATATCTAAAACCCCATCTCAAACTGGAACTTCACTGTGAAAGGAGACTATTTGGGAACATAGGGGCTTGGAGAGAAGAGCTGGAAGTTTACCTGGAAGTGGGGCTCTTTGAGTATACCAACCAGTTCTGCCACATTCTCATCCACACTGATTAGAGGAGTGATATCTTCAAGAATTTCATTGACTAATTCCAAGTTATTGTCACTGACAGCTTCTAGTTTTGAATCTTCTAGTCTCTCATGAGCCTTTGAAAAGACAGTATAGGAAAAGTAATAACACATATTGTTTGACTCCAGACTGTGGTTTTCCTCTTGATTTGCTTCTTTTTCATAAAGCTTTAAAAGATATGACTTAAAAGTGTGATTCACTGAAACCAAATTGAATACTTCAATCAGAGGCAATATATAGATTTTAAAGTACATATTTTCATGCAGTATAATAAATCTTGGCCTCTATTCCTATCCTAAGCCATGAAAAACTCATTTTTATAATTTAACTATGAGAAAAAGCCAATGGCGCAGTGGTTGAGCATTGACCTATGAACCAGGAAGTTATGGTTCCATTTTCAGTTGGGGAACATGCCCAGGTTGCAGGCTCCTCCATCCCCAGTGTGGGGTGTGCAGGAGGCAGTCGATCAATGATTCTCTATCATTGATGTTTCTGTCTCTCTCCCAGCCTCTCTGAAATCAATAAGAAA